TCACTGAGGCAGGTGTGGCGGACACCTACGGGCGTGGCCTGGTGACGCCTCTGGGTGCCGTGTTCTGGTGGGTGCTCTTTTGGGCCACCCCACCTGGAAAGGGAAAGGGCCCTTGATGACACGGCGGGAGGGAAATTCAGAAGTGACCCTCAGGCACAGTCCCCTATCACGACTGAGGCCTGGGGCACTTGAAGGTAGTGTTAGGGCGAGGGTCTGGGAAGTTGCCACGGGCAGCGGTGCCAGTCCTGTGGGGAGTCTTCCCCTGTCCTGTATTCCCCAGGATCCCTGCAGACACCTACCCACCCCCTGCCCACCCTCCATCTGCCCACCGACCCACCCATGTGCCTGGCTGGAGGCCAGCCCCGAGCTGGGCATGTGGGCGTAGGGCAAGCCCGGGAGCACTGCTCTGGCTGGCTGTCTGCTGCACTCACTGCCGGCATCGGGCCAGGTTGTCGCTGGAGTCCCGGTGCTTGTCGGGAGGTGGTTACCAATTGCCTGTTTCCCCACCCGCCCTCCCACTGCTCCCTTGCTAACCCTGCCACGCGTGAGGCTACCAAGGTTGGCCGGGGGCTGCCCTTGCAGGTGTCCTGGCCTGCGGGGAAGGCTGTTTAGGAAGGCGCCAGGCCCAGGAGTGGTCAGTCCCCAGGAGGCTCAAGAGGCGATGGGCATTGCAGCGCAGAGAAAAGTGAGGATGCGGGTGAGGGCAGAGCCCCAGGGGAGACTGCAGGGGCATGCCAGGTTCAAGGCAGCCCTGCAAGCAGACACGTGCTTCCTTCTGAAAACGACTCTCTTAGGAGGGGCTCATCAGGGGGTGTCCTCTGAGGGATTCCTTGTAACGATGCTGAGCCCAGAAACATGTCAGCCCTGGGCACCTCTGGGCCACGGGCCGAGTGCCCGCTCCGCCTTCGGGCTTCTCGGACCCGCTTCCACAGCTGCTGATGGAATGTGCTACTTTTGCAGAAAAATGCATAAGACAAAGAGAACATTGCTCACTTGCTGGTCTATAATTTATTAATTCGTTAGACATTTAATGACCTCTTTTCTCCTTCCTGTAAAGTGAGCGTACAAAACAGGACAGTCTTCCTGGGTCCGGGAGTAGGAGGGCTGCTCGTGGGAGGTGATGTCCACAGCGCATGCAGAGCCTGAGCCAGGTGGTGGAGGGGCAAGTATGGCCCTGAGTCCCTTCGCCTCCCTGAGCCTGGCTCCCCCCCCACCCTACCCCGTGAACAGTGCGTGCAGCATAGAGATGGCAGGAGGCCGGCGAGAGGGCAGGAAGGGGGGGGTCCCAGAGCCGGGGGTCGGAGTGGCCCCCTGGACAAGCTGAGCTTCCACCGGCCCGAGCTGAAGCACAGCGACCTGGGCTGAGGGATCCTCATGGGCCAGTGAACCTGGGCCTTCAGCGTATCCTCGTGGGCTTTTTAAAGTTTTATTTATTTAATTTCTCCTGTAAATGAGAGCAAGAGAGAGCTTGTGTGCACCCCTAGCTGGGTCCCAGCACTGCGACCCACCAGCCTCAGGGCTGGCACTGTGGCATTGCAGCCCTGCGTGCCTGACCTGAACCAGGACCTGCCCATCCCCTCCTGCCGCCAGCCCCCAACACCAGACAGTTACCTGCTACTGGTGTGGGGAGCCGCGTGGGCAGGGCGGGGATGCCCTGCCATGGAGCTCAGGGTCCAGGAGCCTGGACTAGAGGTGCCTTGTCTGTCACGGGCCTGGGCAGCTGCCAGCCCTCTCCCTGTGAGTGCTGGCCAGGTCCCGTATACCTGCCGGTGGGCGCAGATGCTTCCAGAGCTGGCCCTTGGCGGTATAAACTGCAATCCTCACGTGCCTGATGTTTGGGGGATGCCCTCAAACTCCATGCCCACCAGACTCACTCCCTGCCTTGGGCATGTGCGAGCGTGGTGGGGCCGGCTTCGTGCCCCATCATCCTTGCATTTGCGCCGTCCTGCCAGCTCTGGGCTCCTGCCATGTGGGTGTTGGCCGCTGGTGGGGGAGGAGAATGCGCACCGGAGGGACGTGGACTACCCTGCCTGCTGGTCGGCAGCTCAGGGCTTCCTGCTGGCGGCAGAAGTGGCAGACGGTGCTAGTCTGGGTGTGTGTGTCCCGGGCTCCTCTTCTCTCCTTCCCTGCAGTCCCTGGCCGGCCATATCCGACTCCTGGGAGCGTTTGTTCAAAGCCCCACTCAGGAGACTCACGGGGCGGGGGAGGATGTAGACCAGGACCTGTGAGTCACTTGATCTGAGAAAGACCAAGAGTAGCCATCATCCTGGCCAGGGACCAGACAGTCTGAGTGAGCACTCGTCGTGGGGCACCGGGGAGTGGAAGCCAGCTCGCGCAGGCAGCGGGCAGTGGCCAGTGTCGGGGTGACCTTGCTGGGGTGATACCGAGTCCTCCGCTGGGGGATTCGCTAGTCCCCCAGGCTGCCAGCCTGCGGCGCCTCAGCCTCAGACAGCACTGGGTGCCAGAGGCCGCACTCTTACCTGGCAGTGGGTGTGGCACTGACCGGCCGGGCCAGGACACAGCAGGCAGTTCACACGCTGCCTGTCCCCACAACCACAGAGACCCGAGTCCTCGTTTGTCACCCCTTGTTTCTCATCCAGGATCTGGAAACCTCTCATCCACTGGATTTCTGAGCCTTCCTGGGCAGAAGTGGCAGATACGTGTAACTCAGACGCCCTGAGCCCCAGCTCTGCACTCTCACCAGGCTAGAAGCTGGAGCTGACAGGAGGTTGCCACAGAGGCTTGCGCAGTGGATTTGTGGGTGCCTGGTGGAGGGGCCGTCAGGGGCTCCTCGGTGACGGTGGCGGTGGCTCAGTGTCTGCCGCCCCTCGACTGGAGCCTCCATGACCTGGGCTCCTGCCTCCCTTTCCTCACCTGAAGGAGGGGCCACCCCAGGGAGGGCTGGGGAGGGCCAGCGAGATCAGGGCTGGGGTGCATCTCAGCCTCTGCTTATGCCCTCTCTGGTTCCTGCCCCTTGACTCCATACACCTCCTAGGCGAAAGCCAAGGACAGGCCCCGCTCCCGTTGGCTGCACCCACAGTCGTCCCATACCGCAGGCCCTTCCTCTTTGCCTTATTTCTCTAGAAAGATCGGCCCCCTCCCAGGACCCTCACACACCATCTGCTGGGCTCCCGGCTCCAGGCCTGGTTCAGTGTTGTCCTGGCAGTTGACTGTGGATGGGGGCGGTGCTGAGGTTTCCTGAGGGGAGACAGGAGTGTGGGTGAGGGCACAGTTTCATGGAACCTGGGATAAATCTGGAGGGGCTTCATGGAGGACCAACAAGAGCAACACTGAAAGGTGTGACACAGCCCAGGGCAAGGGCCCAAAAGACAAAGCAGAGAGTGACGTTTGACAGGGCTGGGACTGTGAGTGTTGATGATGGGCTGGGGTGCAGGAAGTGCTGGATGTCCAGGTCCCAGGGGTGCAGCACAGAGAGACTGAGTTCCATCCAGAGGGGATGAAATTTCTCTTCCATACCAAGTCGTAAGCACTAGGTGAGGAGGGATCTTTTGGAAATTTATACACCATCCATTCATCATCCCATCTATCATCCAGTCATCTATCATCCTTCAATCATCCATCCATCATCTATGATTTATCCATCATCCATCTATTCATCATCCATCCATCCATCCATCATCCATTTTCCATCCATCATCACTCATCCAATCATCCATCATTCATCCATCATCCATCCATCCATTATCCATCCATCCATCATCCATCCATCATCCATTGCCCATCATCCATCCATCATTTATCCATCATCTATCCATCCATCCATCATCCATTCACCATCAATCCATCATCCATTCATCCATCATCCATCCACTATCCATCCGTCAACCACCCATTATCCATCCATCCATTGCCCATCATCATCCATCTGTAATCTATCCATCATCCATCCATCATCATCCATCCATCATCCATCCATCCATCATCTGTCCATTATCTATCCATCCATCCATCATCCATTCACCATCAATCCATCATCCATTATCCATCCACTATCCATCCACCAACCATCCATTATCCATCCATCCATTGCCCATCATCATCCATCTGTAATCTATCCATCATCCACCCATCATCATCCATCTATCATCCATCCATCCATCATCCACCCATTATCCATCTATCCACCATCCATCCATTTATAATCCATCCACCCATTCATCATCCATCCATCCATCATCCATCCATCTATCCACCCATGTATCCATTTATTTCTAGCTATCTATCAATCTATCTATCCATCCATTATCTACCCATTCTCTGTCCCCCCCATCCATTGATCCCTGTCCATTCACTCATCTACCTGTGTATCCATTCATCTATCTACCTGTTCATTCATCCACCCACCCATGCATTGGTTCATCTGTCTATCTGTCCACCCACACATTTATCTGTCTATCTGTCTACCTATCCATTCATCTATCCATTATTCATTCATCCTCTGTCCATTACCTATTCACTCATCTATCCATCCAGCCATGTATCCATTTATCTATCCATCTACCCATTCATTTATTCATCCATCCATCCATTCTCTATCCATCATCCCTTCCACCCACCCATCCTCCATTCATCCATTCACCCATCTACCTGATCATTCATCAATTATTTCCTGAATGTCTGCTGTATGCTGACTCCTTTCTGACCTCGGATGGGATTGAGGGCTGGGAAAGGAGGATGATATCAAGATAAATGAAACCTGTCTCTGTTTTGGAAAAGTTCATAGTTCTGCACACCTTATTTCTTCCATACTCAAAAGGAGGGCCAGCGATGGCATGGTAGTTAAGGCAGCTGGATCTCACATGGCTGACTGCACAGCGTGAGTCCCAGACATGGAATCTTGAAAACATACTGGATGTATGTGCATACGTGTCTAAAATCCCGAGAGGAGGGAGAGGTGGAGGAGGGACTGTGGCATGACCATGGCCCATGCCCCATGCTCACTTTCTCTTTATCTGTCTCTCTCTCTATCTGCCTCCTAGGAACTTGAAAAAAGGAAGAAAGGATGGAAGGAGGCAGGCGGCCGGGTCGGTGCACGTCGGGACCCTACTTCTGACCTCCTCCCCAGTTCTGACCCCCTTTTGTGTCATGCGTCCCCAGCCTCACTTTCCTCCCTGAGCCCACACATGGCTGCATTGCTCAGCTGGCCAGCACTCAAGACTCTCTCCTTCCACCTGATGTTGTGGCCATTCACGATGTATCAGAGACAGATGCTTTTTAGACCAGCCTGAGCCCCTCAGTGGCCCCCTGTGGACCCTTCTGCCTGGGCTCGCACCCTCTTCCCAGCCATGGCGGCCAGAGCGGGCCTGGGGAGCAGAGCTGGTCGCTGGCTTGGCCGAGTCAACCACATCCTGCAGGCTGCATGGCTGCATGGCCTGGCAGAGCTCAATCCCATTGCGGCAGCTTCTGTCCCAGGAATCCCGTCACCCTGGCCGCTTCCCACATGCAGCCGCGGTTACCTCAGTGCGCTGTGACCCTGTGACCGCACAGCACTGCCCTTTGAGGGGCCCTGACTCCCCTTGTTCGTGTCTTGCTGTGGCTTTTTCTGAGGCTGAGCTCAGGCAGTTGGGTCCCAGGTTGTGAGCTGCTGGGAGGGAGAAAAGACCACCAGAGGCCCCTGGCGGGTGGGCAGTGCCTGAGGAACCCTTGCAGGTCCCATCTGCAGGGAATGCGGCCCTGCCAGGGTGCTGGGTGGGGCGGAGCCAGCAGGGCCTGGGGCCTGGCCCTGGTCTTGGACCCAGCCTCTGTCTGAGACCCAGCCTCAGCTTCTGCTCCTCTCTGCCCTTGGTTTGGGTGGGAGGGTGGCCATGTGGGCCAGGTCCCACTCCTGCAGCCACATCACTGCTGTGCCCTGCAGACCAATTAAATGGGAAGGGCTCTCACCTCGGGGGAGCTAAAGTGCTTTTAAGAGGCGATTATTTAGAATTTTGTAATTTCTGCTTCTTAAGTGCTCCCCTCTCCCCTGACCCTGACCTAAAGGAAATGATTTCCACTGGTCTGCTCCGAAAGCAGGCCGAGCCTTTGCATGTTCAGGACCTACAGTCCTGGCCTCTGGCCCTGAGCTCCCAGGGGAGCTGTCTACCCGCCTCTGCACGTCTCCCTGGGGAGACACCCCCTTCCCCAGCTGCCGGGGAGCGAGGTCGATCCCCCACGCTGAATCTCCAGGTTAAGGAGTTAACGGCTAAATGGGTCACTCGCTCTGCTGTGGGGCTCCCGGAGACCCCGTCAGGAGTGGGGCCCACTGTCCCAGCAAGGAGCTCAGTCTGAAGCAGGTCCCGTGGTAACATCGCTGGTGGAAGTGGGAGTCGCATCATGGAGTGGGGCACTGGAGACCGGGAGGGCTCGAGCCCTCTGGTGGCCCAGCAGGGGCGTGCTCGCTGCGCTGGCCATGGCGAGCCAGAGCCCTCTGGCCTCTGCCCCCTCCAAGAGTGGGGTGCTGGGACGCAGACGGTCCTCCCTCCCCACTCAGTGGTGCCCACCCTGAGCCCCCCACTGCCTGAACACCGTGTGGCCCTGATGGGCTGTCCACCCACACCTTAAGCCACGCCTGGGGTCCGTGCTCCCAATACCGCAGCCTCTGACCTTCTCACTGAGCCTGTGTGTGTCCTGCTGCTCAGTGCTCGCGAGCTGTTGATGTCGCTGGCCTCCTTTCTACTGCACCTGCTGGGACAAGGCTCTGTGACCCCGCCCAGAGTAGGCCTTAGTGAGTGGGCGAGTGGGCAGAGGAGAGGCTAGGGAGGCTCCCCCTCGGGAGAGTATGCCAGGAGGGCCCAGAGGACCCTGGTCCCGTGACTGGATCCTGAAGGGAGGTGAGACAGGCAGGAGTGGGCATGTCCCAGGTCAGTGCCAGCCGAGAGGTGGCAGGAAGGGCCATGTGCAAGGGCAGGGTGCAGTAGTTCACCAAACGCTGGTCCTGGCTAGGAGACGAGCCCCAGACCTTCGGGGGCAAGAGGGCGTGTAGGCCGAGCCCAGCACACCCCTGTGCGCTGGACCAGTACGGTCCCAGGACTGCTCTCACGGAGGGCTCCCAGAGAAGATGGGCAGACTCTCCAGGTGTGCGGGCCGAGGCCTGCTGCTGAGAAGCAGGGTTCGTGTCCCAGGGGCTCCATCGCAGCTGAGCGTCCCTCCCGGTCTTGGCCGCGGCACTCAGCCGGGTGTCTCTCCTGGCCGCTAGCCCAGGGAAGCCGCCGGTGTGACTTCAGCTGCTGTCAAGAGCCACGGCGCTGGGCGGGGCAGCCCAGTGACCACTGTTGGGTGGGAAACCGAGACGCGAGGTGAAGTGATTTCTTAGGTCGCCCTGGTCAGTGGGCTTGAGACTCGGCCTGCCCAGCCCCAGGAGCGGTGCCTTTCCCAGCGGTGCACCGCCAGGGCGCCTTCCCACCCTGAGCAGGCACGGGTCAGGGACAGAAGCCCAGGCACGCACCAGGAGCGAGGGTCCCATGCCCTTCCCTCTTGGGAGTCCGGGCGTCCTCACTGTCCCCGCCCGCCTGCTGCGTGGCAGCGGGCACTGCTCGCATCCAGAGCGGATTAATGAAGCAGCCCCGGGGTTGCGGCTCGAGGCTCCACAGCGGAGGGACGGGCTGTGTGTGGAGGCCTGGCCACTCTCCCTGCCAGACAGCCGTCCTCCTCCTGAAGGCTCTGAGACACGGGCTGGG